CTGTTCAGAAAGGCGAGCCGGGGACGGCTCCCTGAAGATGAAATAAGATTCTCCTCGCCTAGCCTTCGTTCTGGTGATGCGTCTAGCATCGTCGGTGGGCGTGTGGAGGTATCTCTCTGGTGGATCTGTCTTTGGTGGATCTACTCATCGTTCGTCTATATTCGTGTGTCTTCATGTTAGATCCTTTCGATCTACGCTACTCTTCATCGGTGTTGTTGTTGTTGTTCTGGTGCGCTAGTCCTATGGGGTCTTAGCACGGTAACTTCCCGACTGTCTAGTACAACAAGATTTGCCCAACTCCGGCAAGTGGGGGGCGATGATGACGGCACGCTTTCGCGCTTCAATGCTTGTAGTCGTCGCTAGGTGGTCTACAAATCTGGATCTGGATGTAATTTTTATTATTTTTGAGTTTCGTTGTAATGCTATGATTGAAGATGAATAGATAAGAAGTTTTATTTTAAAAAAATCTTTTTAATTAATGAGATACGGCAGAGCTTTTGCCTATATTTTAAAGAAAATCAGCAACAATAGTTCTTGTTCTATTTTGCCATCCACCTTGTACGGCACCTCCAAACGGCCATGAGGCATGCCGAGTGTGTTGAACGGGATCCTGCATGATAAAAAAAAGCATACTAGTTGGTGTAAAAAATATTGTAAAGGAAACATATGAGCGTACATTGGGAAAAAGGATTGTACATATATGTCCATAAATATACTTGCGAGGAGAAGATATTTTCTTCAGAAATAAATTTGTGAGCAAAGACAAATTTCCCAAATTTGACTGATGTTTCAGAAACTTGACACTTCATCTGGAAGACCATGATTAACATGTAATGGCGAACCGATCTGTGATTGAATCATTAGGAGAAGAGTGGTATTTTCAACCCAGGCCTCGCGCTTAGGGTGAGATGGGAGTGGTTAAAAAGGACGGATCCAACGAGGCCATGGCAGGGGTTAGTCATGATGAAGGACAAAGATGCTCAAGAGGTATTTGATAGTCTTGTCAAGATTGAGGTGAGGGATGGCAACAAGGTTTTGTTTTGGAGAGACAAATGGATACACGAATTTGCGGTGGCAGACATAGGACCATTCTTGCACAAACTGGTGGACGCTCGTACTAGGAACCGGCGTACGGTTAGGGATGGATTGGAGAATGGCAGATGGCTTCAGGATATGGATGAAGACCTCATCTTTGTGGGACATATGCAGCTTGTGCACCTAAACTTGGCTATCAATACGGTGCAGTGGGACCCAAATAGGGCCGACTGTTTCTCATGGCTTGCGGATCCGACTGGGAGGTACACCGCAAGACCCACATGTAACCACTTGTGCATGGGGATTCAGCGGGTATCGTATGCCTCGTGCATTTGGAAGAGTTGGGCGCTACTCAAGTGTAAAATTTGGAAGAGTTAGGCGCTACTCAAATGTAAAATCTTTGTCTAGCTGGCAATACAACACCGCATCTCGACCTCGGATCGGAGAGCGAAGCATGGGCTTCAAGAGCAGCCATCCACCTGCTTCACTTGCATGCATGAGGAAGATAACGCCGACCACATCATGGTCCAATGCGTGTACACAAGGGAAGTTTTGGCATGAATGTCTTCAAGAACTCAACTTGAACGTTGCGAGGCCGACGACGGATGACAACTTGCTAGATTGGTGGTTGGGTGCCAGGAGGGGTTTCGGGAAAGAGTTCAAACACGGGTTCGACACTCTTGTTATTGTGATGTCTTGGGCGTTGTGGAAACAACGCAATGTGCGTGTCTTCAATAGAACGGCGCAGCAGAAATCGCCACACCAGCTGGTGGAGGCTATACTGAGGGAGATTTAGGATTGAAGAGCGGCTGGTGTAGGAGTAGGCGGGTTGTCATGCTTTTTGAGACAATAGGCTTATGTTTAGGGCGTGGGGTGTAATTGGGTGTGCCCGAGGAGGGATGTTTGCATCTTCCTCAAGGCTTCTCTTGTAAACTTGTTGCTCTTTCTTCTATAAAGATAAGGTACACCAGTGGCGTACTCTTAAAAAAGAAATCCACCAGGGTTCAAATTCTAAACTTGACATTGATGCTCGTTTTTTTGGATTTATTGCAGACCTCCTGACGATGTGCGTTCAGTGGGAGGACCGGAGGAGATGTCTTTGTCGACTACGAAGGCGTTTGTGTCGTCAATCTTAAGACGATGTACCAGCCCACTCTTTGAGAGGTATTCATAGGGGTACAATATGCCTGGTACCTTCATAGGGATGAGTATATGTGAGTATGTGTTTGCGCTTGTGTTTTGTACTATGTTAAAAGGAAGTGTAATGAGGGTTCCTTTCTTTAGTGTCTAGATATTTCCCCGGAGTGTAGGATTTTTTTTAGCAACGGACAATAGTTGTTTTAAAGTATGAACACATTTTTTTAACACAAGGTCAAAATATCTCATGATATTTATGCATTTTTTCTTTACGTGGCAAACTTTTTTTGTACGTACCTTTTCCCGACTGGACTTATTTGAATCTTTCAGTATTCTTATTATACATAAATGTTGGGATATTTTAGGGGGAGACAAATTACTTTAACATGATTTTTCTTAAAATTCATCTACTTTTTACTTAACATAAGACCCTGTTTTTATATACCTGATTCATTTTCCCATAAAAAGTATGAATACTCTTTAGCATTTAATGACCATTTGTCCAAAAAGTAAGAATATTTCTGCAGAAATTATTAACTTTTTTCTAACAAGTGGAGACTATTTTTTTACAAAAGCATGAACAATTTGTAAATGTGTGGCACACGATTTTTATAATCTATGTATATATTTTAAGACCAGAACAACTTTCTGAGTAATTGGCTATTCATACCACCGTATTATTTGTATCAGAATAAAGATTTTGTTACATACTGTAAAATATTTTCCTAAACAATAAATTACATTTGTATTCTTCTTTATTTGCTAAGAGCATCTCCAACGGACGCCCAATATGCGTCGTGCCCCAAAAATCATAAGTTTAGCGCGCGCGGAGTTAAAAATAGCACTTCAGCGGATACTGCATAATAAAGCAAGCTGTAAAAAAGTGTTCAGCGCGCCAGAAGAAACTGAACCGAAAGTTGTACATTTGAGGCGTGAGCTCCAGCGCGTTGAACTTCCCACGTGCGCTGAAAAGTGTCCCGTGCGCCCATGGCAGCCGTCGGCCTTCTCGCGTGCGCTTGTCGCCAGCCTCCTCGCGTGCGCCTGCCGCCGGCCTCCTCGCGTGCGTGCGTCAGCCCGCCAGCCGGCCACGGGCGGCGGGGCGCGGGCTTGGCCACGGCACAGCGTAGGCGGGAAGGAGCGCGGCCACGGGCGGTGGGGCGCGGGCGCGGCCACGCCCACGCCCACGCCCACAGCAGCGGTGGGGCGAGAAGGCGACGGCCACGACGGGGCGAGCAGGGAAGGAGCACGGCGACGCCCACGACGGCGGCAGGGTGGGGAGGAGCGCGGCCACGGCGGGGCGAGCAGGCCACGGCTACGACGGCTGCGAGCCACGGGCGGCGGCGCGTGGCCATGACGGTAGCGGCGAGCATGCCACGGGCGGCGAGCTGGATACGGACGCGTGTGGTTAATTTTAAATGTCTGGTGAAGATGTAGCTGAGCAATATATTTTCAAGCGTTTGCTGAAGATGTAGCTGGGTAGTATATTTTTGGGCGCCTGCTAAAGATGTTTGATCATCCGACGCGCTAAAACGCTATTTTGGTGTTTAAAAAAATAATTTAGCGCGCGGCTCCTAGGGCGTTTGTTGTAGATGCTTTAAGAGCATCTCCAATAGCTTGTCTATATGGATTTCTATACTCGTTTTTCATGACGTGGCCCTAAAGCAGACGTCCAACAGCTTGTTTATATGGTCGTCCAAATATACACATCCTCTATATCGACATCGACAATGTCCATACCTGGACAATGTGAAGACGTTATCTAAACTCAGCTGCAGTCATGATTTCTTCCTCTCCCCAGCAACGGCCCACCTGTCATGGTCCCTGTATATAGACATTCTAATGCAAAAATGGACGTGTATACGAGAGAATTTTTTTAGACCATTGTCGGTATAAATATATAGACATCCAAATATACCCATGCTATTGGAGATGGTCTAAGTAACGAAGCGTTGAGCAATGCCGACGAGTTGCCGAAAAAAAAAAGAGCAATGCCGACGAGTTTCTCGTTCAGGCTAAAAATCTTACATGTACTGTATGTAAGATGCTCCTGCCTCGCGCACGGCGCCGAACCCTTCGTGCACGGCCAACTCACGTAGCGCGGCTCGGCAGCAGCCGACCACCGCCGACCGCCGACCGCCTCCCAAGAGCGCCCTTGAGCGGCGCAGCAGCCTCGCAAACGTGCCATCGCCACAAGCCCAAAGTCTAGAGCAGCGCGGGAGGTTCCGACTGCCGTCCCCACCCCGACCGCGACGCCGGTAAGGTGTTCGCTCTAATGCCTGCCAGCCCGCGGAGAGAAAGCTGGCCGTGCATTCCCGTGATTCTTTGTCTCATTTTATTGTGGTCCATCAGGATCCACGGACGCTTTCCCCGCCCTGATTTTGGATGAACGGAATCAGCCCTGCCGGACCGGTGAATCTGCATCTGCATCTGGACGCGCCGGCGCCTGCGTGGACAGCGGGATCGCGCGCCATGCGTTGGTTGGACAGCAAGCGCGAAGCCGAAGCCGATCCGATGGGCGCTGTCAGGGGCTTTTGGGACCATGGAAACTGGGCGGGGGCGACGTGGGCGCCAGCCGCGCGAAGCCAGAGCCGGGGACGGCACTTTACTTGCCTGCGGTGCTAACGTAGCCGCGCCCTGCGCCACCAGTCATCCACTCTCCACCGGCCGTCTCCTCCTCTTGACCCGGGGCCAGGGAGGATATCACCCGCCGAGGCTGAGCCGAGTCACCGGTCAGCCCCTCGCTTCCTTCCCGCCCTCGCCTCCTCGGCTCTTCCCCCGCTGCCCTGCGCCACCGCCTCCGCCGGCAGCCGGGACCGTGGAGCAACGGCATGTCTCTTGATCTCTTTTCGTCCAGGTTCTTGTTTTCTTCTGGCGCTGCCAAGAAGCTCCCCAGCAGGAGAAGGGTCACGTTCGTTGCTGCCGCTCCTTCGTCTCCGTCCACACCATCGCCGGCACGGTCGCAGGATGCCTCCTCCTCTTCCAGGCAAAGGAGTGTACGTGCCACGCCGTTGAGTCCCAGCAAAGGTGTGTCTCGACCCGCCGGTAGCAATGGCAGGACTAGGAGGAGGAGGCAGAGGAAGACGGTCGAGGGAGGGCAAGAACAAGGCGGCTGCGTGCCATCGGTGGAGGAGGCGTCCATAAAGGTAGGGACGCTGTATGAGAACGGCGATCCACTAGGGCGGAAGGAGCTTGGCCGGTGTGTGGTGGAGTGGCTAAGGCAGGGGATGCAGTCCATGGCATCCAAATTCGCTTCCGCCGAGCTTCAGGGTGACATGGCGGACCTCACCACAGCGGCATTGACTCTGAATTGGGCATCGGCAGAAGGCCAGCTTGGATTTGTGATCCAGGCACAGCCTTATCTCTCATCCATCCCCATGCCCAAGGGTCTGGAGTCACTCTGCTTCAAGGCCTGTACGCACTACCCCACCCTTTTCGACCATTTCCAGCGTGAGCTCCGTGGTGTCCTGCTGAGTTATCAGAACCAGGGGCTCATCTACGACTGGCGCTCCACGCAGACATGGAAGCTGTTGAAGGAAATGGCCAATTCTACTCATCACCGGGCAGCTGTGCGCAGGACGACACCACGAACTAAAGCAGTTCATAGTAGCATCGGCATAAGCCTCAAGAAGGTAAGGCTGATGCAGGATAGGATTGAAGACTTTGTGAGGCATATGTCAGAGCTACTGCGCATCGAGCGAGATGCGGAGCTGGAGTTTACACAGGAGGAGCTGAATGCCACCACTATGCTCGACAACAATTCCAAGCCATCCAAGCCAGTTGAGTACTTGGTGACCCATGGGCAGGCTCAGCAGGAGCAGTGTGACACCATTTGCAACTTGAGTGTCATCAGCAGCTCAACTGGTGAGAGAGCTAAACTTGGCTACTTTCTTTTCTCCGCATGTTAAGATTTTATCTTCAGTTACTTTGGAAAATTAAGTAAGACACTGTTTTCTGTTATCCCTGCATGTAGGATTGGGAGGTCTACATTTGGTTCTGTTCAGAATTGAAGGTGAACACAAGCTGCCTCCAACGACACTGTCACCTGGGGACATGGTTTGTGTGAGAACATGTAATAGCCGTGGTGAGGGAGCCACTTCTTGCATGCAAGGCTTTCTTTATAATCTCGGGGAGGACGGTTGCAGCATAACTGTGGCTCTGGAATCTCGCCATGGTGACCCAACCTTCTCCAGGTTATTTGGGAAAAGTGTGCGCATTGACCGGATACAGGGATTGGCTGATGCACTTACTTATGAGGTATTCAAATTATGCACATCAACATTGAATGGTTGGCTTCTTCCAGCATATTACTATTAAGCTTTCTGAAACTTCCTTGCCAGGAGCAACTATAGTCTGGCTCTTACATATTTATCTGAGTATAATCCTTTCGTTTTATGATCTGCATTCATGTTCTGTTTCTGTCATATATTGTATATCAGAGTGGCATGAAATGGGGAAAACCAGAACAAAGGAATTTTTAGCATCAAGAAAGAACAGTGAAATTGGGGTTCCCGTTTCTTTTATGATTGTATTATTCTTGGCTTAACAACATGAGTGATAAGTTCATCTAATTCACCCAAGTATTTTTATTTGGCAGCGGAATCTTGAAGCATTGATGCTGCTTCAAAGGAATGGTTTGCTGAAAAGTAATGCTTCCATTGATGTGGTAGCTACTCTGTTCGGTGACAGCAAAGATGTTATGAAGATGGAGCAGAATTGCCTGATTGATTGGGGTGAATCAAGTCTACCTGATCCAAGGCTATCAGAGAGGTGTGCATTTGATGACTCCCAGTTAAGGGCTCTCTCATTAGGCCTGAACAAGAAGAGGCCTGTTCTAGTCATCCAGGGGCCTCCTGGCACGGGCAAGACAGTTTTGCTCACGGAACTCATTGTACGTGCTGTCCGACAAGGTGAAAGTGTCCTTGTGACAGCTCCAAGCAATGCGGCAGTCGATAACATGGTTGAAAGGTTGTCAAGAACTGGCTTAAACATTGTGCGAGTTGGAAACCCTGCTCGAATATCACCATCGGTTACTTCGAAGTCCTTGGCAGAGATTGTAAATGGAAGGCTTGGTCAGTTTAGGAAGGAGCTTGAGAGAAAGAGAACTGACTTAAGAAAGGACTTGAGGGACTGCATAGAGGACGATTCTTTAGCTGCAGGCATTCGTCAACTTCTGAAGCAACTTGGGAGGGATCTGGAAATGAAAGAAAAAGAAACGATCATGGAAGTGCTATCTGATGCACAGGTTGTGCTTTCTACTAACACAGGGGCAGCCGATCCACTTATCAGGAAAACTGGTTGTTTTGACTTGGTAATTATAGATGAAGCAGGTCAAGGAATTGAGCCCTCTTGCTGGATTCCCATACTGCAGGGAAAACGTTGTATTCTTGCGGGTGATCATTGCCAACTTGCACCTGCCATATTGTCAAGGAAGGCCCTGGAAGGTGGGCTTGGTAAATCTATGATGGAAAGGGCTTCATTGTTGCATGATGGATTACTTACTACAAGACTGACAGTCCAGCATAGAATGCATGATTCAATAGCCAGTTGGGCATCTAAAGAGATGTATCAGGGGTTACTCCAGTCTTCTCATTCTGTTGCTTCGCATCTTCTTGCCGACTCTCCAGTTGTAAAGGTATACATACTTAATGTTTCAGGTGTCAGGTCAATTGCATGGTATGTCTATGTTTTTTGGTCAGTGTTCAGGACTGAACTTGATTATCACGTGGGAAATCTTTTACCAAAAAGAAAAGTCATGGACTTCACTCAGGATTGGGTCTAATTGCAAAGTTCAGATCAGACATCATTGAATAAATTTACCCCATGTTTGGTGAATCTGAATCATATACTGTTTGGCCTTTAACCCTTCCCAGCTCATTGGTTCACTACCTTTTTAAGAGTGTAACTGTGGTCAACACTGTAGCTGTAGATCTTTAGATTATAGTAAATTACTTTGACAGATGATTATACTACTAGAAGCATGCACACTACTTGGTATATTTCACCACAGTTTCCTTAAGCAGTTTCTAAACATGTTTATTTCAACTGAAGCGCATTTTAGATGCATCATTAGCATTATAATGTTCTTGTCTTAAGGTATCATGTGATCGTGTGTTTACTGGGCTAGTATGCCCCACTCGCTTCTTTTTTGTTATGCTTAGTGATTACACATTTGGAAACGTTGATTAGACCTATTAAAGTGTTTATCTTTATCAATTTTATTATGACATTCAAGCTGTGGTTGCCGAAGATAATTTAGGACCCAATTTATTCTGAGTTATTGGGGAGAAAGACCTATGTACACATTTATTTTACCAGCCATCACGGTTTTACTCAACTTGGAGGATAAGAACATCATATTCTTTCTTTTAGAAGCGAATACGGTATTAACTTTCATCCTGCATTTCTAAGGAAATTTGGCCATACCCTTCCAGCCCCCTTATTGAAATGGTCACGTCCACCCAGTCACTAAATATTACAGATGGGAACCGTCAGCACCCACTTTTCATTTCTTTTATATACTCCCTCCGTCCGAAAATACTTGTCATCAAAATGGATAAAAAAGGATGTATCTAGAACTAATATACATCTAGATGCATCCCCTTTTATTCATTTTGATGACAAGTATTTCCGGACGGAGGGAGTACAACCCTCAGGCCTGAGCCCGGGTTTCACTATCATCGGATAAAGGAACTTATATCCAACAGTAACAACAATACAACCACTGACTGACAGAACTTTTGCTGCCTACTGCATAAAACTGCAAAGAGTTTCTTTTAAAAAATGCAAATAGTTCAACAAAATGTTGTGGACATGAATACATAGTATCAAGGCAAGAGTAGCAGCATGGGAGGAGTCATTTAGAGAGAAGTATCCTAAGAGTCCTTTAGGGAAGTATAGGATTAGGAAAAAGTCCAGTTGTATAAGGAAAGATCTAGGTCAAGGGCCTGAGCATTCGTTATATAAGGATGACATGTATCCACGTTTGAGGCAAGGAAGAATAATCAATCTAATCTCCCCCAGTGATTCTCTCGTCTAACCTATGTCTACTCAATCCCTCGCAGCCATGCCGTCTGGCGATCTTCAACGTGGTAGTTCCGTTCTGAATCAAGGTTCAAAGCAGGAAAACACTCACTTCATGATGGATGGCCAATCATATATCTTATGTGTAGCCACGATCAATCTTTCATCATATGCATGGATACAAATACAAACAAGCTGGGATACTCTCCAGCTCAATGTAGTATAATCACAAAAGATTAACAATCCAACACAATAAGGTGGGATAAAATTTTATACATCACATTTAGATGGTTGTGGTAACTGTTCATCTGAGTGTTACATGAGGAACATGTAGTAGGTCTGGAACTACTTCTGGAACCAACTAATAATGTCTTGCATCTATTTGTTGTGTCTACTCATTTGAAATTTGTGCATTCGATGTTTAGGATTTTTTTGCCATGAATGCATCTATATGCACTCAAGCTGTACCTTATGATTTCAGGATACTTGGATAACACGGTGCCCACTGCTTTTACTTGATACCCGAATGCCATACGGAATTCTAAACGTTGATTGTGTGGAGCATTTAGACCCTGCTGGCACAGGATCATTTTATAATGATGGAGAAGCAGACATAGTTACACAGCATGTTCTCAATCTTGTGCATTGTGGTATATACTTATCTTTTACTTAATTAAACACATCATCAGTATTGTATAATCTTTGTTGCATAATCCTTCGATCCTTAGTATTGTTTGCTTTAACACATCAGGATAATTATTCAGCATTTTTCATTCACTGGTCAAACATGGCCCTACCTTTTTACGCTCAGATTTTTGAACTTATAAACATATTACAATCATGATTGTAGGAGTGTCTCCAAGTGAGATAGCCATCCAGTCTCCCTACATTGCTCAAGTTCAATTATTAAGAGAGAAGTTAGAAGAATATCCAGGGCTTTCTGGGGTTGAGGTTTCAACAGTAGATAGCTTTCAAGGGAGGGAGGCAGATGCGGTGGTCCTATCGATGGTAAGCACTGCACGGTACCATACATCTTTCTGATGAATATGTCACCCAAATACAACACTGAATGAAGCAATTGACAATTAGAAGGGCAGTCGCCGATCGGGCCACAATCATTTCATACTCCATGAATTTTAACCTACTTCTAGTGATGTTTATCCTTCTGCTGGCTTATAGGTTCGGTCAAACCCACTGGGAGCTGTAGGGTTCATGGGCGACAGCAGGCTAATGAATGTGGCTATCACAAGGGCACGCCGGCATGTCACTGTGGTATGTGACACCTCGACCATTTGCCACAGCACCTTCCTCGCCCGGCTCCTCCGTCATATCAGGCGGTATGGACTAGTAAAACATGTTGCACCTGGTTCCCTAGATGGAGTTTCCGGCCTCGGTTTCAGCCAGCCCACTCTTCCATGTATCAGCTAGCGCACACCGCAGTTCACTATCTTGATGGCATCATTCATATGCTCATACGAGCATGTATATATGCGAAGAGCTGAAAGATGTATATACAGTCGTACGAAAGAACTGAAGGCTGAGAAACTATAGTGCCCATCTCAGACGTGCCTGTCTGGTATCAATCTGTGAAGAAGACAAAGAACTTGAGAAGATATGAAGAGAAACTGGTGGATACACATGGAAGAGCTTCGCTAGGTGTGTGGTTATCTTCAGATGACTTACCACATGTGTCATGTGGTTCGCCAGGTGTGTGGTTGATATGAAGCATGGCCATTCGTTGGACCTAACTGAAGGCTTAGCTGATCATGCATCCCTGAATTGGTTCACGTGATTCATTCAGCAGAAGGAAGACTACGTCAGTTCCTGTAAATTCTAACTAATATTGTTGACATGGATACCCCAACACAGACGTGTAGTAAATTGACAATTCACAATTGAGTTCGAAAAATGCATTTCATTTTGAAGTTAAATGTCACAATACCAAGTTAACGGTGTGTTTCTCTTAATCCCTGGAAAGAAAAAGAAGAAACAGGTGCGTGTCTTTCTTTCCCTTGTCATGGTTGTTGGAGTGTGTTGTAACATCCGCATCATGTAATATTACGGATGTCGTATGGTCATGTCCTACTCTTTTTCGTAGCGAAAATAATTAGATATCCCCAACCGTACATGCACGAATAGACTACTCTTGTAACTAGTGTTCCCTATGCAACTGCAACCTACCCATGTTTTGCTGTTTTCGCCGTCTGATTATTGAAATTGGCACCATTGATGCTTAACACGTGTCTACTATACCACAAAACGTTTTTCACACTGCTATGTCACAAAAACTTAAACCTAAAACCAAACACATAAAAAATGAAACATGTTGCATGTCCTTCATAAAACAAACTTGGAAATATATTGCCTGGCCTCTACATCATAGATGCACACGTTGCCATGTTTATTACAACGTCTGTAAACTAATGTAAGATGTTTTTGTAGTTCAACACAAAAACGTTTTACGTTAGTCTACAGAAGGAGTACATCAAAACAGATTGTCAAGCAAAGAGTGACACGCTACATATTAAAAGAGTTCAATCGCAAATAGTCTACATGCTTGCTACTCTAGTTGGAACATAAACTTGTGCGCGTTCCAATCTGTTGATGCCAAACTCCATTGCTCCCCGTGTTGTAAACATGGCCACAACAAATTGATGCATGAGAATGATACCTGCGCAAGAGAATGAGCATGATTTCCTGTCAAAAACAGCATCATTTCTACATAGCCAAATAGACATGTGAAAGGGGGAGGCTGGATAGGAAATTTTTAAGACAAAGTTGATTTTTGTAGACAAGTTTAAGCTGGGCTTGCCTATAAAACACTAGCATGTAAATTGAACTAGTGTAAGTCTCAACACAAGATGTAATTCCTAAAGTTCAGATTGTTGGCACAATACATCGTTGGAGAATATTTAGACACCAAGTCCTAAGAGTTCTGGCCCCTAGGCCAACCTATTCCTCCTTGAGCTAGGTCACAAAGCCCATACTCAGTCACTAGGGTAGATTTACACATGAAGTACGCGATTTTTGGCCTTCATTGACTTCTTGGCTCCTTCAAAATTCAAAGACTTTCGAGCGATGCCTAATCGTCTAGGAGGGGTACACCATTCAAGAGTAAAACCTTGAACCGCTGACTTGGAACGAACAGTTGCCAAGATCTTCAATGATTGGCTCAAGAACCCCCTTATGTCTCACAAGTTCTCCACTGAGGATAGACACCTAGTAGAGAGAATTTGAGAAGTCAGATGGGAATACCACGTTTCCGAAAGTATGACAACGAGACGAAGAGGTACCGAGCCGTCTACAGACACCTCAAGAACCACACTTATTTGGAAGGTACATGGCATGAACTATGTGAGGTACCAGACAATAACTATAGGTGTCCACAATAAAGATACAACACTTGGTAGTACCGAACACGCTTCACTTGGAAGTATTGGGACTAACAAAGCACCCTCTGTAACGGACTAGATATAATACGATTGAGTCCCAACTTGGAGGTTCCGGAAGTGCACATAAACTGCTTTATCTGAGAAACCCAAATAGACTCAGAATTATCGCCCATACTCCACTCGGAGGTACTAGACCTAACAGACAAGCCTCTGAAATCAACATAGAGTCCAGTTGTTCCCGTAACTAAGTTCGGTAGTTTCGGATCCACACTTTGGTGAAATCTCACCACATCTCATATGACACTGATATTTTGAAGTATCGGTTGACTGGCCTGGTTCTAGGTATGTATAAAAGTAGATAAGGAGAATTCATGTTGAAATTAAAGGGAATATTTGAAGATTATGGCAATGTGTTCAACCCTTGTAGTTCCGTTGCTTATTTTTAGGGGTCATCATTGATACTTTGCAACTACATTAGGGGCCAAAAGCTGAATAGTTGGGAAGCTTATTAGTCTCTTAAGCGTCTTTTCTCAAAACCTATTAGGAGACCTAGATGCACTTTTAACATGGAACACAAAATAAGTGAACAAAAGACTTAGGAATCAACACGCATAAATGTGCACCGTGCTACATGGTGGCATGGTATTAAAGGCAAGGTGCACCGCCCACCAAGCAACACGTGCAATTCCACAATCAAAAGCAAGTAGTGGCTCAACTCTTGCTCATAACAAAAGCTACAACGCATTTTGTTGTACTTGTTAATTTCATTTGGACAGATTGTGAGGTGAGAATGAGACCACTGCATAGGCACCACAAGAAACTCTTGATTTCTACAAGAAGCATAAGCTACAAGAACATGTAGGGTTTCAAATACACGTTTTTTGCAGTTCAATTTCATTGCAGTTCAGATTGGACTTCAAAAATGTCTTATATTTAGTTACAGAGGTAGTATGTAGAAACATATTGAATGAATCCCCGCGCAAGACTTGAAAAGGCTCAAATTGGAGGAAGGTTTCTTTCACCCTCATCAAACCTTTCCAAATTGGGAATTTATAGGTTAATTTTAGTCAAAGACAACTTTTTCGTCCTTGATACTTATTCTTGATGAGACTACCACACCATGTCCTTGGTAAGAAGATTGAAAAGCCACTTATTGAGAAACCACTTAGTATTTTTAATATGCCCGAGTCCTAGGTACCTAGACCTTCCTGGTCCTTTGAGTAACTCCCACTACATCAACATATGCCGTATTTGATGTATCACAAGTTGTTTACCAACCCCACATTCACAAAAATCAAAGTTTGAGTTAGCACACATTCATAGCAAGAGTTTTTCCAAATGGGTGGCCATAATTTGTATTCAAAAATTTTATACATGGTGGATACATGTGTTTAGTTGTCGTTCTTTTTCCAGAAGTTCTAATGATTTTTTCGATCTCTGTCGTGCATTTTGCTATGACTCATAGATACTTCATCAATTCACTATTATAAGATGTTCTTGAAAGTGCGTTATATCGACTAGAGGGGGGGTGAATAGGCGATTTTTATGAAAGTCTTCAAAACGTGGAAGTTATGAAGACAAACAGTAGAGATAAGCCTATCACTATGCAGCGGAAGTTAGATTACACTAGGCAAGCCATGGTCAAGTATTCAATAGAGTGAAAGCACAATGACAAGTAGCTGCAGTGTAATAAGGATCATGTAGGAAGAAGTTATGAAGCCAAATAAATCATACAGTTACGTTGTGAAGACAAAAGATATAGCAAGCATGCAATGGCTTCACAATGAGTAACAGTAAGTAAAAGGAAGTGAAGATGAAACCAGTGACTCGTTGAAGACAATGATGTGTTGGACCAGTTCTAGTTGCTGTGACAACTGTACGTCTGGTTGGAGCGGCTAGGTATTTAAACCTTAGGACACACAGTCCCGGACACCCAGTCCTGAACACGCAGCTCAGGACACCAAGTCCTCACCGTATTATCCTTGAGCTAAGGTCACACAGTCCTCGCCCAATCACTCTGGTAAGTCTTCAAGGTAGACTCCCAAACCTTCACAGACTTCGTTCACTGGCAATCCACAATGTCTCTTGGATGCTCTGAACGCGATGCCTAACCGTCTGGAGGATGCACAGTCCTCAAGTATAATAAGTCTTCAGATCACACAGACAAGAAGACTTAAGTGATGCCCAATTTACTCTGGCTCTGGGTGGTTAGGGCTTTCTCCTCGCTAGGAATTTTCTCTCAAAGGCTTCGAGGTGGGTTGCTCTCAAACGACAAAAGCCGTGCACTGAAATCTGAGCAGCCAACCGCTTATGGTTGTAGGGGGTGGGCTATTTATAACCACTTGGCAACCTGACCTGATTTGTCCGAAATGACCCTGGGTCACTAAGGAACTGACACGTGTTCCAACGGTCAGATTTCAAACTCACGCGACAACTTTACTTGAGCTACAAGCAAAGCTGACTTGTCCGGCTCTGGACAAGATTCGCTCTCATTGTCTTCACTCGAAGACATAGGTTTTTGGTTTAGGCATCACTTTAGTCATTCTGACTGGTTCTCCTGGACCCCACTTAACAGTACGGTGGTTCCTATGACTCAACACAAAAGAAAAAGAACTACGAAAGATCTAAGTCTTCGAGCTCCATAGGCTTCATAACGTGTCTTCTTTTGTCATAGTCTTCAATGTGAATATCTTCATATACCACCTTTGACTTTAATGTCTTCATACATTTTTAGGGGTCATCTCTGGTAGTAAAACCGAATCAATGAGGGACTTCTACCTGTGTTATCCTGCAATTCTCACAAACACATTAGTCCCTCAACTAGGTTTGTCGTCAATACTCCAAAACCAACTAGGGGTGGCACTAGATGCACTTACAATCTCCCCCTTTTTGGTGATTGATGACAAACTAGTTGAAGTTTTCAATGGGGAATATAGTCTGTGAAATTGTAAATGATAAGGAATTGTCTTCATAAGTTGCAAGGGCTCCCCCTGAAGATGCACATATAAGTTAATTTGCTTTTGGAATGCAAATGCA